GCGCACTTCAGGTGTAACTCTTATATAGCGAAAACGCTATGTTAAACGCTGTATGAAATAGTCGATTTTATGACTTCTAGGAAAATGTCTGTAACTTTTCGATGCAAGGTCATACAGAGTTGTGCGAGGTCTTATTTTGATCAGAAACGTTTGCTCTATAAAGCTGTGTTTTCAGAAAAATTTTAATTGCATAAGTATCCAGGAAAAAACCATTATTTGAAGACCCATTTTTTCGAGGCTCTTAGAAAACTTGCTCAAAATCCCGGAAAAACCAGTTTTGTAACCAAAAGCAATACAGATTCTGGAAGTAGACACTTCAGACTATCTTTTCATGTGCGTATCTCAAAACCGATTTTTTGACCGAAAATCACCATTTCTGAGGGGAGGTGCCCTTAAGCGGAATATACAGCATATTTATCAAAGTCCTTGATATTATTTAAAAATAAAACAATTTAAAGGCGCTGCGTAAATTACAATAAACTTCGAAAATTGAAATACTTTAAAATACTATCAAGAGCGGATAATATCTAGAAAGCTTTGCTATCTGTATGAGTTTGATGCGACATCATCACATTGTCCATCGAAGCCATCATCTAGGTGAAGTTCAGAATAGATTAAGCGACTTTAGAGGAATTTGTCTCTTACCTAATTTGATTCTATTTGCATATGACTGGTAATAGTTTTTAAATATGAGATTAATTCCTAAAAGAAACCAATTGATGAATTTATGTCGTTATAAGCGGTAGTAGTCTTACATGTCTGAAATTTTGCCAATCTTGCGTTAGCATTTGCATGTCAGAGCGCAAAATGCGTACATCATTCTTCAACGTTACAATATTCGTTTCTATCTCAGTTTGTGCATCTCCTGGTCTAGAGAAAATTTCCATCCTTATCTTCGAGCAGTTAACCAGGTTCGAGGAAATAAACTTACGGAGAGTTTGTTGTCTGATTCTGACTCGAACTAGCATGATTTCCGACGTCTGTGGTTCCAATGTTCTAAACGATGGCGGGTTTATTTATAATTCTAATAAACTTTTTACATACTGTGCTTAGTTTCTGTAACTCGAGATGAATATTGCGCAAATCTTCTTTTGCAGCAACTGTTGTTTTGTCAGCTTCACCCGTTTCATTCTTCCTATTAGAAACATCTTGCGGCTATACTAAATACAAGCTTATTCTGGATACTAACTTTAATATTGGTTCTTGAAATGCATCAGCTTCGTTTTGCTTTGTCTTCTCAACTACAGATCGTGCATAAGTAAATGTGGCTGCATTTTCGAATTCATTCCAATCACTATTCGACTTCTTGTGTTTTGCAATCATTTCTTCAAGGATTTATACTCTGAACAACTACTAGCTAGTAAATTTGACATACTTACTAAAAACACGTGCCATATACTCTTTTGGGATACTGATCGTATCATTCACTTTATTTCGTGCACATATAGAGTAGTACACTTTCTGCAGGAGAAGCTTTATCATCCAGATTATGTATGAGAGAATGTTCAATGGAGGATAGGCGAACAAGGGACGTTCAAAGTATTTTCGAACAAATGAATAACGCTGATAACGCCAGAAGAATTCGGTATTCTCTTCAACTTTGATAATTGTACTACTGCAAAACAAAATGAAAAATGAGTGAGTAATCTCGGTCAGAGCTGGAACCGGTCCGGCGGGACCGTTTGAAAAAGTCAAGCGCGTCGGTAGAGACCGGTATTTCACTGGTTGAAACTTTTGAACACCTGCTCTTTTTACCCTGTTTTTCGTCAAAAAACTAAAATTTCACGTCTTTTCAGTCAGAATAAATAAGACGATATTCAAGATAGATATTATGTTCATCACTTGTTTTAAGGTTAAATGTTATAGACTTGTTATTGTGAAGGTTCTCTTACATGTGCTCGCAAACTATTTCATTTCTGAGGGGAAATTGTTTCTGAAAATCGATTTTCAAAAAAACTTCGCCAGATTCTCGCCGGTATTTTACCGGTTTGAGTTATAATTCTAACCGGTCCGACCGGACTGGTTTCCCGTTTCGCAGCCAGATCCAGCTCTGATCTTGGCGTCAGCCAGTAGCTTACTTGAACACTGCGATGAGTAAATTCAACAATAAGATTTGAATAAATAACGAATGGATTGCGAGTAGAACATGTGTTGCAGTGGCTTCAGCAGCACCAACTACCGCACTGCTGTCATCATTAATCATACCTACGATGAGAGATTATTATTTAGAAAACAAGTGTATACTTGCGTACATACTATCTAGTTTCTGTAATTCGTCTTGTGTGTTCCCATAAATAAACCAATAAGGCGGATATAGGATGTTACTAAAAATGCCCCGTCCGTCAAATGTGACATTCTGATAGCTGATCATGGATCGTGATACAACACCATAAGCAGCAATTAAGATGAAAATAATATATACAAATGCTGCTAGGTCACGTAACTAAAACAAAGAAGCGAGCAAATCACTAACTAAATGAATCCTGAATTATCGCTGTCATACCATATTTTTTATCATAAACAGTTTTGGACCAAGATATTCAAGTACAATAATAAATTTCAACGATTGTATATACCACAGCTCGAGATCAAAAGCCATTAGTATTCTAAATGGTTCTATTCTTTAAACTGCTTTTTTTATTTAGCACATATATACCTTGCAACAGTCAATAAACGTAAAGTGTCTCCATATCGATACCGAAGCAGAATGCCCAAGTAAAACAAAGCGTACAGTGATAGATAGAATAATTTAGAAAACGTTGAAAGTAGCCATGAAGTTGACTGATACCACCTCTCCTGCATTCGATTTTGATAATGATACGCTAGCTATTTAACAAAAAAATCATTATAGCATAAATGAATCAAGAAGAGTTGGTTAGTATTACCTGTCGTAATTCTTCACACAGCATTGCTGATATTGTAACAATCACGTAAATTTCTGTCCAATGAAATCGTCCGCCTGTATCGCGTGGTGCATCGAATTTATACAACATCATATAACTGAATACGAGCAACAAAAATATATAGATAATCTATGGATAAAACAAGATAAATGCATCATCCCTCGAAGGTTCTAATAACTCACAAAGTCATAACACATTTTGATCATTGGACATGTATGGAAATAGTTTAGTCGGTACTTATATTTCAATACAGATTTGTCCGCATAATAGTTGATTCCTTTAGACGTTAATCTATAAGCAAACACAGAAATGGAAAATCTTCCGCTAATCAAAATCAGCTTACATTTGTTTATTGAGATTGTATGTTGCATCACTCACGTTCGGCGTTGAAACCTAAGTATAAGCATTTTGATAGAGAGCCAAAATAGTATTGCAGATATCGACGTACCGTTACAGATGGGTCTCTGTGTTTTATTTCAGGCATTCGATAGGGCATCCACCAAGGAGCAAAGAAACCAAAGGTAAACAGATTGACCAAAATGAGCGGCTTGGCTGAGATGCTTATGTTTTTAATTGCTAGTTTATCATACCATATTTGATTTAATAGTTCATCTACACATGGTGTTGCAAAAAATTTGGCACACTCACCGGCAACAGCAACCTGAAAATAGTATATTTCGAACATTACATTAGTACAAACAATTACTAAACATACCTGCATGCAGGTAACATTTCCAAAGAGAGGCACCTCTCTAATTATCAGTTCGCACGTTAATTTTTCATTATGTGCGTAACATTTCTCTACACAGTCGGAAGCATATTGTTCAAATTCCATCGCTTGCTCTCTTAGCTTCTCTTTCGTGAAGGCATTAATCGCCTCTTTGGAAAAATGTCTGTAAATTCGTGTAGCAATCAAAGCTGCACATATCCTCGGTTTCAGATGGAATAAAATCACTTTAGCTAATTCAATTTCAGTAGTGAACAATGCCCATAGAAACAGATCTCGGAGCATTTCTTCCTCTTTATATATCTCTTTAAAATTATTCCATTCGCTTTTTATATCTGATGGATAACTTTGACGTCGTTCTAAATTGGTGAGTTCTTCACCAAGTTCAGCGTAATGACTAGGATCATCTCGTCGCTTTACACAGGGGCAACAGTTGCATAAATTTCTCCAAACTTTTGAACAACAATAGAGTGTATCACTTCCAAAGCGTTGTATAGATCCTTTTTTCTCCACTACATATATTTCGTGAATAAATGATCCTATCCATGCAGAATAAGCATTATTTAGTTGTATGAATGATGTTGGCGCTTTGTCGCTGTCGAATATTGTATTTAAACTCATATAATCCGTCTAAAGTAACTTACCATAAATGATAAGGAAGATCATTACTTTTCATAATAACAGAGTACCTCATCGCCCCGTTTGAACGAGTATTCGTACCATTCTAAAATTCCATTTTTCGAGCATGATGTCCTCGGATCAATTCCTATTCGCAGAAAATAATCGATAAATGCCGTCTTTTTCTCTTCTAAGGCCAGCTTAAATAGTTCTGAATTTGAATCCTAAACATAAAAGATTTCTCGTTAAATTATTCCACTTCGGCATACCAATTTCACATTCTTTATTGTAGGTCCGATCGTATCTTGTGGCTGTGTCTGTACTAATTGCTGACTAGCCATTCTTTGCTGATTTTCTCTATTTTGTTGTTCTCGTCTTGCATTGTCACTGTATCGTTTCTGATCAAGTAGCTCTCTTGCTGCAGAGAGACAGTCCCATTTAACTGCTAATCGAAGAAGAGCTGATTGACTTTTTTCTGATGTAAAGTTTGTATTAGATCGAGGTCTTGATTCATTTAAGTTTTCACTCTTTCCAGTTCTGTATGCTAAAGAGCAAGGTCGTTATTTCTAACGTAATTAGAAATATACTATACATACCAGAAAATATTGCTCTAAATATCGTATCAGCAACATTTTTATCTCGATCTAAGCGAAACACATGTAGTAAATATCGATTCTCTGGCTTTATAATTTGTTGTATTTGATTAAGGATTGTACTGATGTCCTCTTCCGTAAAGTTTGCATAAACACTATTATTTCCCACAGGGAATGTAAAACGGAGAATAGTCGTGATTTCATCTTTCGTCGCACTACAACGCAAGGTATTGTTGTCACAATTAATCAACCCAAGAACATTTCTTCAACCTTTTAGTAATTCCATTTGTATCGATCAAACTTGCCAATACATCCGCCATGCGACCACTCCCCTTGAACGAGCAGTCATTTTCATTTTCTTTTAATGTTATGAAAAACTTTGATCGATACCTGAATGATGACTACAGGTCGACGCTTTGATATATCGTGCAATACCACTTCTAATGTGTTTTTACCACCCTCAACAATGATTGTTACGGGATAGCCTAAATTTAAAAACATCAGCTGTTGAACAGTCGATGAACAATCAATCTCACTTCGATCATTGACAGCAGCTTCTACCAGTTGTGATCGTTGAGAATCACTCATGTAACTTTTTAGCTGACCGTTGTCGAACAATATAAAATGCGTGTGATTCCATTCTAGCGTCTCACTGTCATGTAGATTCATTAATTTGTTACCAACATCCATTTTAGACTAAACATGGCACAGTACTGATCAGCTTTACATGCGAAATTGGGTAAATTACCTGTTGCTTTAGTAGATTTCGGGTGTCTTTCGTCAAACTACCCCATTGTGTTAATCCAATAGCAATCACATCTTTTGGATATTTTGCCAATAACCGATACTGTGAAATACCATCACCGACCAATTTAGATACACCGCTGTTCAAACCAGTTGACAATATCCACGCATCTAAACCAACAGTTGGTGTGTCAAAACAAGATCGTATTTACGAACATATTGAAATCATTCTCATTCTGCACGTGTACTATTGAGCTCAAA